AGCCAGCTCCTGGCAAAATCACAAACTAAAGCAAAAATTGGGCTGGAAGTGTGGCTCAAGTGGTACAGCAGCTGCCTAGCAAGTATGAAGCCCTGAGTTTCAACTCCAGTACTGCCAAACAAGGGGGCAGGGAGGACCTGGGGAGTGGTTCAGATGGTAGATACTATGCCTAGCATACTCAAGGACCTGGGATCAATTCCCAAGTACCCAAAAATAGAATGGGAAAGAAACTTGGGGACTATGTGCCTATACCCCAGCCTCCAGACAGGGCCACACTCACCGCAGCACTTCTAACAGAGGGACAGGAGGCCTGTTCCCAATGTGAGGAGCCAAGATCCTGATAAGTGCACGCTTTCCACCATCACTTTGGTGATCTGCTCAAGGCAGGATTGCCTGCCTTACACCTCAGCTTGCTTTGGCATTTGGGGGAACACTGTTAAAGCAGTCCTCAAAAGGGAAACAAGTTCCAGGCTTGGGTCATGGCACTCCCACCACTATTTCTCTACCCCACCCCATTCTCCCTTATTTCCCTGAAGACACACCGTAAACTGAGTGTAAAGAACAAGGGTCTAGTTTTCGTTTTTGTGATCAAGGGAGTTTTGCTATTGCCCGAGGACAAAGGCTAAATTGACATAGGATGAACAGTCCAGAGGAGCAGGTCTCTCTTTTTTGTTTTCTTCTCTGATTCTATTTCTCTCCTGGAGGAGAAGGAATGATAATTAGAACACATGCGCTACAAAACCTCAATGTAAATACTGTTCTTAAGAGGAAAGACTCAATGTACTAGACAAAGAACTTCTGAATACTGACCCTTAACTCTTATAAAGGCAAAGATAACAAGAGAAGGAGGTTGGGCCAGGAATGGTTGTGGGAGAAGTAAACCGTAAGAAGAAAGGAAGGAAGGGGAGTGGAGAGAAAACATCAGAAAGCATTCAACCAATAAGAACTGATCCCGGGCCCTTGAATAGGCCTGGCAAGACTGGGCACCATGAACTGGACTCTCCCTTCCCATGCTAGAGCCAAGGTGGCTATGCCAAGGAAGGGACCTGACGACAGGGTCCAAAAGGTACAGAAATGTTTTTCTTGTCTTCCAGAGACAAAGTGACTGGGGTCCTACTGGTCTAACGTGTAGTTCCAAATTTGCAGCATCATGGACAGTGACAACTGGAACAATCCTCAGAGTTCATCTGTCCTGGCCTATGCTGTAGTACCTCTACACTACCCTAAAATTTTTTTTCTGTGCAAATGCCTCCTAGGATGAGAGACTTATTACCGACTACTCCAAACATCCCAAAGTCCTTCCTAACATAATACTGAGCTCAAATCTCTCCCATGACTTCAACCGGTTTTGTCTTCTCCCACTCCTGCCTCAAGTGATGCTTCCTGGGCGGCTTGCTGAGCAGACCACCTTGCTTCTTATCTAAGTTCAGCCTCCTAGTACTAGCTCCTGAGCATGAGCAAATTGATCTTTCTGTGCCTCAGTTTCTCATCTGTAGAATGGAGTTAATAGTACTGACCAGGTCTGTACCATTACCGTGAGGAAGAAGTCAGAAAATCTGTGGAGAACTACATATGACACAAACAGGTCGTATTTTAAGTGCCTGGTAAAATGCAGCTACTGAAATTATACAATAGACTATCTATTATATATAATAGGCTCCTCTAAGGCAACCACTGGGTCTTATTCATCACTGTAACTTTTTTTTTTCCTGAGTACAACATCTGGATGAAAATAAATGTTTACTGGATGTCTAAGTAATTAATTGATATAACTCTGTTCCAGTGATCTCCTGACTATGACAACCTTCTCTTTTCATGGTACTAGGGATCAAATCCAGAGCTTGGTGAATGCTAAGCAAGCAGTCTACTTACTACTGAGCTACATCCCTGGCCTATGACAAACTTCTTACAAAAACCTATCACTCAGCCAGGTGGGGGTAGTACACTCCTGTGATCTCAGCACTTGGGAGGTAGGGGCAGGACTACTGTGAGTTTGAGGTCAGCCTGGGCTATACAGTGAGACCCTGTCACAATAAACAAACAAACAAGCAAACAAATAAACCTATCACCCAATCCTTCCTCTACCCCCAGTTTGGCCTCTGTTTGTTGCTACTCAATCCAGAAATTTCCAACTTCTCAAGGTTGGATGGAGAGGCTTAGCTTGAGGCAGAGGTAGTAGGAGCTACATCAAGTTCAACCCTGTGGAGGAAGTCACTGTGAAGTGTACTGCATGTTTTCTTGTAGCCAAAGTGTGATTGATTTGCTGTGGTTTATATGGTGAGGACATGTGAACCCATGGACTACAACCTTCCAGAAGGAAAATTAAGCAAAGGAAAGTAAGAAAGCTCTTTTAGATCAGAGAGCAGGCCAACTTCGGATGAGACAGGAGAAGGATGGCAGTGGAGACAAAGCTGGGGGAGGACAGGGTCTGGAGGGGAGGATAGAGCCTGCATTGATGTCAGCCACAAGCTGGGAGCACAACGGGACTAGGGTCAAAATCTCTGGCCCTATACTGAAATGGTGCTGCCTGGAGGGATGAAGAAATGAACTAAGGAAAAATTGGAGTAGAAAGTACATGCTCAACCAGGAAATTAAATATTGAGGAATGCTAGTTAAAAGTTCAAAACACTGCCTGTAATCCCAGCTACTCGGGAAGTGGAGGCAGGAAGATCACAAGCTCCAGGCCAGCCTGGGCAAAGTTAGAGAAACCCTATCTCAAAAAACAAAACACAAAAGCACTGGGAGGCATGGCTCCAGGGGTATGTATGTATGGAAGGAGGCCAGGCCCTGGGTTCAATTCCCATTACAGCAAAAAACAAACAAAAAAACAGTTCAGAACACTTTCCCACACATCAACCTTGGGCCCATTTCAGGCAAACTCTGGCAAACTCAGGAACTCAACCTGGTGGTCCCTGGACCCCAAGTCTCATCCCAGAACACCCAAGCTGTTTGATTTTCATCCACACACCAAGTGCCCGCTCAGTTTGCTATACAAATGGAGGTAGAAAAGAAGGTGGGTTAAAAAAATTTTTCCTCTAAAAATCCACACTGCAGGTCCCACAGTGGGGGATGGGGGCAGGCCCCCTTGGCTAGGGGCTCTCTTAACGTTTGGCATCTTTCCTTCCTACCGCTGGTGCACGAGTTGAGTGACAGGCCACCCCAACTGAAGGAGAACAGAACTCCCTCCCAAGCCCAGCATCCTGGGGAAAAGGAGAGAGCCGCCCAAGGCCTTCACAGCAGGGGAGAGAGGGGGGTATGTGTGGGGGGAATAGGAAGATTGCTTGTTTATTTGTTTCCTGGAACACCCTGTTAAGAATCTCAGCAATTGCAGTTAGTGCCCTATCGTTTGGCAAGCAGAGCTGCTGCTCGTCGTTCCCAGCTGCACGGGATCTAATTCGCAAATACACCATCTTGCATTCAACACTTAAACGGAAAACAAGCCACCCGAGGAGGGAGAAAAGCGGTCTAACTCTGCACGCACGCCCATTTCCGAGGGATTTATGTTTCTTCGGGGTTTTGACTGGCAGATGCGGTCCGGTCCGCAGAGAGGACCTCATTGAGCCGCGATCCTCTCTCGTCCCGGCTGCAGAACCCATTCCGATGGAGGTTACGAACTGTAATTAAACCTACAGAGAGAAGGGGATTTGGTTGGGCCTTAGGCCTTGCCAGTATAAAATAGTAACTGTAATCTGTGAGAGCTCAGATTTGCAAGAGAGATAACTGCTTATTCTTCCCACTGGAAACCTAGCTAAAAGAAAATAAGGCCTCTCTTAAAGGTAGCTAAGATTAGAGAGCTCGGTTTCCGTTTTCTGTGTTTCTGTGGGCCGAACGCCCAGGTCGGTCAGCGAGTTTCTCAGTGTGGAATGACGAATTCCTCTCGCCTGGATTCTAAAATGATAACTTTGCTTGGTGCTGCAGCTGCGAACGTCTGGCGCCAAGCGACTCAATTCTGGCCGTGGCGTTGCCGAGGGAGAAGAGGGGGTGAGTGAGGAAAGGGAAAGAGCCATGCCTTGGTGAAAAGCCGGGGAGCGGCGAGAAGGGAAGTAACAGCGGCTCCTCCCGGCCTGGCCCCTTTAAGTGCTTCACTGACTCAGCGAAGCTTCCCCCCACCTCAGGTCGCGTTTTTTATGAATGAAAAACGTCCTTACATTCATTATATAAACAAGCCTGTGCTGATTGGCCAATGGCCCCCGGTGCATAAATTATGTAAAACAGACCCCCGAAGGGGTGGAGAGAGACCTACCATCCGCCAATGGAGGCCGGAGTTGATGGGGCGGCTTGGCTGGATTTGCCCGAAGACAGGGTAAACAAGAGGTGATGGACAGCCACGGGAACCGCCTTGGGCCAATAGGGAAGAGTCTGGACCAGGACCGCGGTCCAATGGCGGCGGGCGGAGCAGCAGACTGCGGGGGGCCGGGCCAGCGCTCTAGCCTGGTTGGCAGCTGCGGCGCAGAGTCCAGCCGCTGGTGCACAGAGCGGTTCACAGGCTCCGGAGCGGTCCGGCCCAGCCATTGCTTAGGCGCCCAGGCCCGGTGCGCGCGTGCGTGAGCGCGCCTGCGCCGCCGGGGCAGTTGCAAGGGGAGGAGAGCAGCAGCCTCAGGTGAGGGGGCGTTGCGGGGACGGGGGCGGGGGGACACATCAGAGGGGGATGTTCTGCAACGAGTCCCAAAGGCCCAGGTGGCAAGAGTTCACGGGCTGATTCAAAAGACTTAAAGTCAGGGTGCACATCTGGGGTGAGGTTCCCCCCCCGGGGGGGGGGGCAGACTGCTCTCTACCCCCACCCTGGCCCGGCCCGGTCCGGTTCGGTTCCTGGGAGGCTTCGGGCGGGGGCGGCTAACGGTTCCGGAGCGCGAGGAAAGCGGGTTTCCGCACGTCGCGGGGGAGGCACGACGGAGCGCGGGGTGCGGGGCTCCGGGGTGGAGATGGGGGAGCGCGGAGTTGCTGGGCTTTACAATCTCTGGAGATCGGAGAGCCCCGAGGGGACTTGGAGGCTCGCGAGAAGAGACGCTTGGCGGAGCTTTGCAGTTGGGAGGAGGGGGCGGGAAGCAGTTTGAGCAGGGGGATACTGGAGAGGTACTGCCCCCCAGAACACCGAGATTGGTTAAATGACATAGGCATGTGCAGCCTGCGGGGCTGGGGGTCGGCCAGGAACTTATGCAGGCCTTGCAAGTTTCAGGTTGTGGGACGTGGACCACCAATCCCCCTACTCCTACCCCCAGCAGACTGAGAGCATCGGGAGAAAAATCGGGGACGCCAGAGCAGCGGCCTGGCGATGGTGGGGAGGAAACGGGTGTGGAACCCAGACGGGGGAGATGCTGGAGCCTCGCGCTGGATTCGAGATCCGACTACATTTGGAGGCGGGGTAGGGGTAGGGGGAGGCGGCAAACTCTTTCCTGATCGAGGAGGGGGTGTCAAGGAGAGATGTTCGGGGTGGAGGGGAAATTGCAGGTAGTTGGTAACCCTGAGCGCCGCACCTCGTTTCTATGAATGTGGGCGACTTTATGAATGAAGCGGGTTTCTTTCGTTGGCTCACTGCTCCCTGCGGGCTTTTTTTTTTCTTCTTCTTCCCTTTTTGTGAATGAAGCATTGAGCTTTCTTCCTAAAACGCTGGGTGAGGGGCCTGCTCGAGGCCGGGCGTGCGTTGGGAGTGGGGGCGGGGGCGCAGCTGAAGGAGTTTTCATGAATGGGGAAGGCTGGGAATTGGGTGGAAGTGTGTCTTGTTTTGTGAATGGGGCCCAGCGCGAGAGATCCAGTTACAGCCTCTACCTGATGTGGCGGCCGCGGCTCGCTCTCCCATTCATAAAACCAAGCCCGCTGCGCGCTGCGGGGGAGGGGCCTCGATCGCGCGGCTAAGCTGTTTAAAGTTTTCCTGGGGGGCACCCAACACCGGGGGGGGGGTGCAGAGGAAGTGGTTTAAACTCCTGGATGAACTCGAGCCTTCCCTTTAGGCTTTAAAAAAAAAAATACTTCGAACACAGTATTTCCAGCCCTTAAATTCAGGGCTGCTTTAAAGATCCTCAGTGCTTCTTTTGGATTCGCTTATGGTAGTTTTATTAACTTTTTTAAAAAGCTATTTTTGCTCTTCAGCGTGAAGTATTTCATCGTAAGACTCTGAAAATATCTCACCCTCCGCTCTCCTACTTATTGTCGTCCCCCCCCCCCTTCCAGCAGACATTTACAGAATTGTTAAGGCCAAGATTTAATCAGATAGATTTTTGAGGACGAAAGAGAATTCCTTTCAACTCACTGCTGAGGTTTCTAAGATTTTGTATACGGGTTGGTGCCATTTGAGAGGGAAGGTTTGTTCTGAACGTTTATGTGCTGTGTGGAAGGCAAAGCAGGCTGGAGTGGTTTTTTTAGGAAATTATGAACTGTGCTATTTTGCTCCAGTCTTTTCCTTTGACTTTGAAAAATAATCTGATTTCTTGGGCCAAGTGCTGAGGAGGAGGCTGGCCGTGAAGTGTTTTCTTGTATCCTGCTCACTTTTGAAAATTTGATATGCTCCACACAGTGTGAAAACAAATTGGATGGAAATGCCCACTGGGGGGAAGTTCTCTTTAAAATTCGTATACAAGTTAAAAGAAATTACTCTTTAAGCAGTTCACATTGCATAGAGCTGGGGTGAGTGAAATTAATGTCCCTCATCCTTTTTGTTGACCTAATTGTTTTTATTTGGAAAATAAGTGTTGAGGAAGATGGCACCTTCCTAAAATTGTTACTTTATTCATCCTAGACTGGGAAAAATAAAATCTCTCTTCTCACTTGTGACCTCATCTCCCCAGCCCCACCTTATCAGTGCTAAAATGACTAAAATTCTCGATGTGTCTGCGAAGTTTGACTTCACTGTAAGAAATGAACTGAGTTTTCTTTCCATAGATCTTTTCCTTTTAATACTTTTTTAAAAGTTCTTGGTAAAGATGCATTTAAAATATGTGCAGTAAAATTTAGTTTTCTTTATCCATTATTTTTCATAGATATTTTATTCTTTTAGAAGTTGAAGATATCACAGATATCTTTGTAAGTTGCCATGGAGATATTTGTGATAATACAGGCATACACCTGTTTGGACAGAATATTTAGGTTTTAAATAAAGAGGTGTGTGTGAAGAAAGTATACTTCTGATCAATTTATTCTTGGAACTAGACATAGTGTTTTTACCAGTGACCTACAAAATACTTTTAGAAATATCATGTATGTCAGATCTTAATTGCCAATAATTTGGAATACCTAAACCCAGTTTCTTGACTTCCTGTCCCTGTATGACAAAAATTATCTCTTTAAAAAAAAAAAAAAAAACCCTACTACAAATACCCTGGAGGATCGTCTACATAGAGAATCTGGAAATCACTTTTTTATGATGAAAATAAGGTGTTTGGGTTTTTTTTTTTTTTTTTGTAATGGTGGGGGTAGCATGTTTTTTATTTTTGTAGGAGACAGGCAGTACCAAATCTAGAATCTTAATGATAAGAAAGAAGAAAGAAAATGATGACTTGATAATGGACTTGGCCCTGAGAACACTGAACCTTTGATACCATTAAGCCCAGTGTTGGGCTGAAAGCTTATACCTTCAGTGGGCTTTAAGTACTTCAGAGAAGAGTAGTTATTTTTGCCCAGACCTTGAAGAAAGGCCAGTACAAAATTGCTTCGTTTCTTTCCTGCCCCCTTCAGTTAAAGTCTCCCAAATTCATATTACAGGAGGATCTCTCTTCCCCCAGACATTACTCAATGCTGAAACCTTTCAAAGAGGTAGTAGCGACGACGTTGGAAGCACTATGGAAGGGTTTTATGATCAGCAGGTCCCTTTTATGGCTCCAGTGGTAAGTATGTGGCTGTTGGTTTTGTCCTCTCTCTCCAGTATGAGTCTTCTGTCTGGTTAATGGGTCCATCCTCTTTGGACCTGTATACTACACTTGAATCTTCTGTCTGTTGGCCTCTTTCAGAAATCTCGATCAGAGGATTGTCGAGGGCGGCCTGTGATTGACAGAAAGAGGAAGTTTTTGGACACAGATCTGGCTCATGATTCTGAAGGTAGTGAAGCTTTCCCCTCATATGTTGTGGCTTCTTCAAACCACTCCCAGGGACAACAGCATGTAGACTTTTCACCTATTCTTAGCAGAACAAATATTCTCATTCTGGGGTCTTCTGTTTTTAATTCCAGAGTTGTTTCAGGATCTCAGTCAACTTCAAGAGGCTTGGTTAGCTGAAGGCAAGTTTCTTGGCTGTCCTATTTTCCATATAAAACATTTTACTGTGCCTTTTAATAAAACTTAAAAGTCTAAAATAAAAATCTCTTTTCCAGCACAAGTTCCTGATGATGAACAATTTGTCCCAGATTTTCAGTCTGATAACCGTAAGTACCTTTATAGAGATGACACATTTGTTCTGAAATTGTTGGGGTTGGGTCATCCATGTCTAGAATATGCTTTTCAGCAATAACCAGCAGATTTGGGCAGTGGCATGCATGTAGTTTCTTTTAATAATTCAGGATTAATCCTGAAAACTTTGTTTCATTTCTCTGAAATTATTTCTAAAGTGCCTCTTCTCTCTTGCAGGCAAGATATATTGAATATAATCACATACTAAATTTCTTTTTACCTTAAGAATATTGTAAAGCTTCAAGCTCAAAATTATAAATTAACAATATATAGGATGTTAGGCCAAGCATCTATTAATCATTCATTTTCTTGTAGCTTTTCCTTTTGTTTGTTTTATAAATTAAATCTTTGCGCTGGGGATGTGGTTCAGTGGTCAAGGACTTGCTTAGCATGCACAAGGTCCTGCATTTGATCCTCAGCCCTGCAAAAAAAAAAAGTTCTTTCATGTGAATGATGAGGTATTTTTCTTTCTTTTAAAGGTATGGAAGATAGTTAATGGAAAATTCCAGTTAATTGTGGTTTCACCCAACATGTCAATTTTGCTTCTTATAAGCTAAGAAAGGGAGGGCACAGAGTGGCCTGATTTGCTCTTATTTTGCATATAGTTGTTATTATGTTACTATTCAGAGAAGAGTAAAACCTTTTTCTTAAAGTGGTCATTAAGTGCTCATTACCTGAGATAATAAAATGCAATTAGGAACTCCAAAAGTGGCTCTTGGTGCTGGCAGAGGCATGGTTAGCTTACCCTGATCTTTTGGGGCTATTCTCAACAGGTTTGGGAGCTTTTATGGTCCAGGCAAAGCTATCAAGGACAAAGCTGGATGATGAAATTTGAGCAACACAGGGCTGCTCTAGAGCATTAGTCACTGGCGAATGAGCAGGTTTAAGAGAGGCCTAGAGAAAATGCTGCCTCTCTTGAGAGTTGCATCATAGAGAAATTCTTGTCTCTTAGTCATAGTTTATAATAGCAAGCACCTGAGCCAGGCAAGGAGTTGATTTCTCATTTTGCACCAACAAATTCTTCCCAGCTTTGTTTCATCTTGTGTGTGTGTGTGTGTGTGTGTGCATGTGTGTGCACATGTGTATATGTATAGAAATACCACTTGAAGAGAGGTCTATGTAAAAGACATTTATCTTTAGATCTATATAAAAGCTAGATATTCTAAATCTATTCAATGAAATAACAGAGGTACCAGCCAACCATTCTTAATGATAGGCCTCATGTTCAAGGCACAATGCCATGAAACTTTCAAAGGGAATAGACTAACCCACAGAGGCATGGTTACCTTAGCTTTGTCGCAGCTTGTTGTGGATGCTTTCTCTATGAAAGGAAATGTGTGTTAATTATTGCCCTTTGATTGCTTTCAAGTGATTTGGGAAGCTTGCCACTGAAAGGCTAAATAAAGATAACCCAAATATTGTTGTGTGTGTGTGTGCATGAGCAACATGAAAGAATTTGTAATCTAACTTTGTTCTATGTTGACAATTTGGCCCAGCTTTTCCAGTTCTTGCTCAGAGCAGTATAAACTGCAGTCTGTTTGGAGGGGTTGGCTTTCTTGGCAGAGGTTCTTTGAAATGCTTTTATGACACTTTTGTTTGTTTCTCTGTTACCCAAAAGAGTTAAAAGGGAGATGGGATGGCCACACTCAGATTGATTGCATGTGCTGAAACACATGCTGTGTCTGGTCTTTAGAAAAAGATGTCAGCAGACAGGATTTATGTTTGAAGAGATGTTTATCTGTGAGAACAGACTAAAATGAAGAAATCAATAAGTGTTTTTGGCTCCTTAGAAATAATTCCTGCTCAGCAAATAGAATGTGCTAAGTTCTTTAATTAAAATACCATACCTCAAATGGAGGTGCTTTGGAAGGTGTCCCTGCTTACCAAGGATGATGTGGTTTTTTTAACTTTGTTTGCTTTTTGTTTAACTGCTTAAGGTTGAGCTTTTCTATATTTTAAGGATAAAATGGATGGTTGAGTAGCCTAGAAAAAAGCCTTTTAATAATTCTTTTCCACTGTACTCTTATTTCTTGAGTTGGAGCTTGGGGAAGGATAGATTCAAATAACATGACTTGCCTGAGAGACTAGGCAGGAGCCCCACTGTGGTGCAGTGCAGCATGGAGTTGTTCTTTCAAGCTGGTATGTTTGATTGACTGTGGTTCAGGGTTTAGACTAACAAGGAAACTGGGGAGGAGCCAGCAGAGCCCACAGCTATCAGTCCAACACACTCTTACTTCTGTGAGCACTTTTCACAGCCTTGTGTGGAGGACAAGCTTCTACTTCAGTCATCTGTCTGGAAGACAGATTCCAGGGGAGGGAAAGAAACATGTTCACATTTAATGAAGCCTTACGAGTTGGTTCAAATCACCCAATCAGGGAGTTACAAACCAAAGTTACATTTGCCAGGGACAGCAGATCTTTTTACTACATTATCAGAAATACTTGTAACAAATAATCTTACCAGTGGCCACTGGTAATCATCTATCCTGTTAACAATGATTTGATTAATTTTCTGTCATGAGAGACTGTATGAAAGGCGTGAAAGAAAGACAAATGTTAAATAATGTGGGTGATGGTTTTTATTTTGGAATATCATCTTTAAAGATTATGGGTTTTTCTTTTTTTGTAAACACAATAAACTTTACTTCTAAAGAGTTTGTATTTTGTCAAGTTTTCCAAATTTGGGTTCCCTTGCCTATAGGTATCCATCCACAAGTGTTCATTTGAATAAATGAAACCATATAAATCTTCTAGAAATGCCCAGCTTACCTGTAGCTATACAGATTTTTACTTCCAACTCACAAATACAGATATTAGTGAAGGATCACTTGCCTGGAAATTTTTAAAAGTCAAATTCAAGGGAACAAAACTATACTCTGTAGACCACAGTGGTTTTGCCTATGCCTCTCATTATCCCTTGGTCTTGAAGAGAAACCCTGAAGATCCCAGATTGTTTGAACTGGAAATTCCTTGTAGAGATTAGTGGGGTCCTACCCCCTCATTTTATAGAAGCAATAAGGTAAGGATCAGAGAACTAGAAAGGCCAGTGACTTGGGGACAAACAGGGAAGGATTAGTTGAAACAAACAAAAAGTATCTATACTGATACCTTTAAAGAAGTTTTCACAAAACTGCAGTGTCAGGGGTTACCAGAATGGTCAGGTAGATTCAAGGTTTGCTGTTATCATTTCAGATACTTGGAAATGGCTTAGAGAAACTGCTAGCCAGCCAGTGTGACACCTTAGTTCTCGTCTTCCTGTGATTCCGAGAACGTTCTTACATTTCTTGGTGCTTTGAGTTTTTCCATTTAGGTTTCAAGAGATAATAGAAGGGGTACTAAAACTAACATGCTTTTTGAAGACTTAGTATATATACAAATAAAACCACATGTATGTGTCCTAGGTATTTATAAAGAAGCGGATGTATATATGTGTCTGTATAAATGAATGTATAGTTAAATATGTACATTAACACAGATTCCCCTGGGGAAGCTGGGTCAGTGCATAGATACATACACATCTTTATTATATATTAACAAATCAAAGCCATTTATAAAGCTGGAACTCAAGAGCAGGTTGACGTGAGAATGGGGTAGATGCTACATTAATTTTTCTGAACTGACTCCTTGGGTACCTAAGAGTTGATTATTAGATTTTAGCATGCATAAATGGCAGTTGTTTTTTAAATGCAGATTTCAGTTCTGATTTTCAAAAATCTCACTCATTTGTGTCAGTAATGGTATTGTGAATAATTACCAGCATCTTAAATAACTGAAATATTTTATTCTGAGGAGAGGGCATGATAAAATCTTAGTTTAAAATCTAGCCTTGAACTGGGAGCACGGTTCAATTGGGAAAGCACTTACACAGCAAGCACGAGGCCTGGAGTTCAATCCCTAGTGCTGCCTACAACCCCCCCAAAAAAATCATAGTCTGTGCACCAAATACAATTTAGAAAATTGTTTTAAATTCAAAATGACCCAATTTCCCCCTTGAAGTGTTTTTCTTAGATCTGTTTCAAAAAGAATAAGACTGGAGGAAGTATAACTAATTTCCTAGGGACCAGCTAATTAACTGATAAAATCAACTTTTCATAAATACATTGCAATAAATGGCGGGGAAATAGGATTAACTATTATGACAACCCTTGAGCCTAAAACACATTGATCTTAATCCTTACCTTGAGTTTATTCCAGTGGTCATTGGTTTTTTTTTTTAATGTGTGAGGCAGATATAGTAGCAGCACTCAGTGCCTTTCTTCTGGAGAGGGTACATGATTGGGGTCTGAGAAGTTCTACATTTCTTTGCTTTGTGTCTAGGGCCATTTCTATTGAAAGCATCCTCCTCCTAAAGTATTTCTTTGTTGGAAGTATAAGAAAGCAAGCTATATGTACTTTAAAAAGAAGAGGCTTGGGTCAAGTGCAGTGGCTCATGCTTATAAATCCCAGCTACACAGAAGGTGTAGGTGGATGGATGATCACAGTCCAGTCTGGCCTGGGCACCAAAAAAAAAAAAGGGCTAGAGGCATAGCTGAAGTGGTAAAGTACAAGACCCTGAGTTTAAACCCCAGTACCACAAAGAAAAAAAAAAGATGCTTGACAGAGTAAAGGCTCTCGGTTTATACTTTTCAGGAGCTAGTAGTCATGAAGGTAGGTAGAGGGAAGAAAAAGCTGAAGAAAGGGTGAGGAAAACTTGGAGAAGAGATGACTTGATCTCAGGTTTTAGTGTGCTTTTGGTGTCTTTGTTAGCTAGCTAGCCTACTGCCTTGCTGCAGAGAGGGTGTGAAATAATTTGAAATCCTTCCTGTCTGATTTGCTTTTAATATCCTAGGATCCAGGACTTAGTGACCTAAGACCTAGAGTAGCCTTGGTGTACAAGAACCATGTGTTTAACAAAATCTTCTTGCTTCTAATTTAATTCAGTTAGGCTTATTTAAGATGGATTTTTCTCTTACTCTTCTATGTTTCTTTGCTCTTA